TCCTTCCTTCCTTCCTTCCTTCCTTCCTTCCTTCCTTCCTTCCTTCCTTCCTCATCTCCTTCCTCCCTCCCTTCCGGCACCCTCTGTAATAAACTTTTCTTCTTTCTCTTCTTCTTTCTCTTCTTCTTTCCTTCCTCTCTTCCTTCCTTCTCCCTTTCTCACCTCCCTCCCTCCTTGCTTTCTAAGACTTAGCCAAGATCAAATATGCCTTGCAAATATTCCACACACACACACACACACCCCACACCTCTCCGCAGTGCTGGCCTTGCCCTCTTAGCACAGAAACGGGAAAAAAACCCCAAACCCTCTTAGTCCACCCTCTTTTGCCTCTCCATCTCCCTCCTACACGGACTCAGCCATGTTGCCCCCCCTTCAAGCCGGCCTAAAGTTCTTAACACTCACTTCATAATCGATCCCCACGCGATTCAAGGCGATGTTGATGGTGAATGTGGAAGCGTCGTGATGCGGCATCAGGGACGGCTGCTCGTCCGGCTTGTACCGGACGATGAAGGCGAGCTCAAACTGGGTCTGTAGAAAAGAAACAGGCTGGGCCAAACCATGGCTTGTGAATTCTTCCACAAGCCATCATCAGTTGCAAGTGAGCTAGAGAAATGCTTATAAGGATTTATCCAGGAGTGATGGCTGCTTTTGGGGGGTTTGTGGGCCTCGTACTTTCTTCTTTCTCTCGGCCTGCCCCAAAAGGTCCCTCAAAGTCCTTCCTTTCGGGGTCCTCCAGGGCCACCAGTTCAAATTCTCCCATGAGTTTCCAATCCCAGCCTGTATAAGTTGAACCCACCTGGGTATAGTAACCTGGGTAGAGCTTCTCCGTGATGGGTGCGATGTAATCCAGGAGAAATCTGTACCACTCTCGCTCGAAGTTGACCTGGTTCATGTGAATGTCAATGGTGGGTACGTTCTCATAGCCCCCTAAAATCCTCTGGTCCTATAAAAACAGTGAGTAAAGTTAGCCGGTAGCTGCTCTACATGTAACAACGAGCCTCTCCCCCCTTCAAAAAATAAGTGTAGACTTTTGAAAACTTTGTATTTCAAAAGGAATCTTTTTATTGAAGGGAGGTAAAAGCAAGTCAAAATTCAAAGCAGGATCTGAGTTCCCGCAGGGCATGCAACTAGGTCTCCAAACCTGGCAACTTTAAGACTTGTGGACTTCAACTCCCAGAATTTTGCTGGCTGAGGAATTCTGGGAGTTGAAATCCACAAGTCTTAAAGTTGCCAAGTTTGGGGACCGTTGAACTAAGATAAAGAGAATGAGAAACCCCTTCGAACAGTCCGATGTGGATTCCACTAATCCGCAGGTGTGAAGGTGTTATTTTACCAGCACCTCCGAGAAAGCAGATAAGAAAAGTTTCTCAGGCTATTTTCCGGCACTGCAATCCCCGTGGTCCCTCCTCCCCTCAAGAGGTGAGAAGTTTCCAGGCATCTGGGGCACCAGGCAATGGTTATAAATCGTGTAAAAGGTTATACAAAAGACAAGGTAAAAAAGAGGACACTTATGCTACATAGAGAGGGAAAGAATTAAATGCATCAAATCCAACCCCACCCCTTTATTCCATCGGAGAATGGCAGATACACAGATCTGACACCATGGTTTGTTTTAAAACTACGGTTTGTTTTTAAAACCAGCCGCTTCCTGGCAAACGTTCCTCAGCAGGTGACTCGGCTAAGGAAGTGACATCCGTTGGAAAGGAAGGATCCGGAATCTCCCTTGGATGAGCTGCACCTGTGAGGGGTCACCTTACCTTGTTGTCTCCCTTGGACCACTGGCCAAAGTGCTCCATCTCTTCAACCAGCTCGTCGCAAGCCGCGTCGGTGAATAGCGGGAACCAGTAGACATCTGGGCAGGGCTTTGAGAAGGGATAAAAATTCAGAGCTGCCTGGGGCTACTTTGCACCATCCTGCAGCAATTTCTATGTTTTGTTTTTGTTTTTATTATGTTTCATTTATTTTATTTTAGGGGGTGGGATTCCAGCCCTCATTTTCTCTCTCCTTTCTGCCCACTTCCCACCGCCCAATTCTACTTGCAACGAAGAAAACTGGTTTACCGTTTCTACCAATTTGCCTTTTAAGGCATCCGTGTAGTTTGGGTGAATGTATTTCTCATTCCAGTCCTGTTTTGTGTGTGAGAGAAGAAGAAAATTAAAGAAAACCGGGGTAGGATGCTTGGTTTGTTGTTTCTTTCCCCTAAAGGAAGGACTCCCTCTCTGGCAAATCCACCCTCTTTTGAGACTTTGGGATCTGGATTCGAAACTGGAAGTTGTAAATGCACAATTTGCCCTTCAAAAATCCCCTCCCCCATTCTCCTCTTTCCCAGCTGTTCTTGGCTCCAATTCCTTCTGACTCCTCCTTTCCAAAACCTGCTGCTTCGACCCAGCTCCCCAAACGTGTCGAATCCTCTGAGTTAACTCAAAGATTCCTTTAATTAGTAGCGCCAACAGCCCCGGCAAACGTTTCTCTCTCTCTCTCACCGCAGGCTAACAAGTCCGTTCATCTGGAAGATGAATCGTTTGCCACACCTATTCATCTCCGCCCCCTGCCTTATATCCCCAGAGCGAGGGTGGGGCTTCGCTAGCAGCAGTGGCTCTTCCGTCCCAAGGACCGGCCCATAGATTTCCACTGCTCTCCTCTCCTCTTCCTTCTCCGTCTCTGTCTCTTTCTCTGCCAGCTCTATTCCCTCTTCTCCCTCAGAGCTCCCAGGTTGCCCTGATGCTGGCCCTGATTCCCATGCCTTCTCCTCCTCCTCCTCCTCTGATTCGGCGGCTGAAGGGGCCAGCGGTCGACAGGCCACAACATCTGCTTTGAGAGACAGCGTCGCCCAACATCTATAATTCCTGGTCTTTTTTTCAGCCTCTGCCCCTCTCTTTCTGGGTGAGCCCTTGTTCTCAAATTCTTTCCCCCTAAGAAACACAATCCTCCCCCCTTTTTTAATCCTTTCAAACTGGCCCCCACTTCACCCCACACCTGTTTCGCTCTCAGGTTCCAGAGAAAGTAAGCCTGCTCACCGCCGGGTTGCTGAAGATTTGCCAGAGATCGTTATGCAGGTGGCTTGTCTGATAATTCTCCAAGGACAGGATGTGCCCGAACAGCTGCTGGTTTGTCAAAAACATGAACACCCCCTGCAGAAAAAAAACCAAACAAACCCTTATAGAATAGAGTAGAGTAGAGTAGAATAGAATAGAATAGAATAGAATAGAATAAAAACAGACTAGAAATAGAAATAGAAATAGAAATAGAAATAGAATGGAATGGACTAGACTAGACTAGACTAGACTAGACTAGACTAGACTAGACAAGACTAGACTAGAATAGAAATAGAAATGCAAATGCAAATGCAAATGCAAACGAAATAGAAATGAAATGGAATGGAAATAGAAATAGAAATAGGAGTAGAATAGAATAGAATAGAATAGAATAGAATAGAATAGAATAGAACAGAATAGAATTCTTTATTGGCCAAGGGTGATTGGACACACAAGGAATTTGTCTTGGTGCAAATGCTCTCAGTAGACATAAAAGAAAAGATACATTCATCAGGAGTCAGGAATCATGAGTTTCAACGCTTAATGATAGTCATAAGAGTACAATAAGCAATCAATCATATTAGGAAACGGTCGATATAAACCGTAAGGATACAAGCGACAAAGTTACAGTCATACAGTCACAAGTAGGAGGAGATGGGTGATAAGGAGTGATGAGAAGATGAATAGTACTCGTAGTAAATAGTTTGTAAATAGTTGGACAATGTTGAGGGAATTGTTTGTTTAGCAGAGTGATGGCATTCGGGAAAAATCTGTCCTTGTGTCTAGTTGTTCTGGTGTGCAGTGCTCCATGGCATGGTTTTGAGGGAAGGAGTTGAAACAGTTTATGTCCGGGATGTGAGGGGTATTTTCACAGCCCTCTTTTTGACTCGTGCAGGATACAGGTCCTCGACTGAAGGCAGGTCGGTAGTAATTGTTTTTTCTGCAGTCCTAATTATCCTCTGAAGCCTGTGTCTCACTTGTTGGGTTGCAGAACCAAACCAGACAGTGATAGAGGTGCAGAGGACAGACTCAATCATTCCTCTATTATGGGACTATAACTCCCAACATCCCCGAGGCTTCATTTTATTTGTGGCCTTCTTCCTCTTTCTTTGTCTTCATCGGCACCTTGTATAATATGGTCCTAATTCCCTTTTGCAGAAAAAGCAATTGTAACCAGCCCGCTTTCCATTGTGAATGCAACACCTGGACAAATACAGCATCCTTCACTTCATCCTCCAAGGAAAGATTGAAGGCAATAAAGGTCCAGGTAGAAGAAGAACATCGTGGCTTCAAAATCTAAGGGACCGGTTTGGACAAAACTCAGCAGCACTTTTTCATGCAGCTGTTGATAAAAATAGGATCGCCAACATCTGATGACGGATAGAGCCCACAAAGAGCTATGATTATGACCTATTTACTTGCTGTTTATATGTATTGTATTTCCCCCAAAATAAAACTTTTTTGCCCCCAAAATAAAAAAAAAATTTCCCACCGAAAAAGGCACCAGGTCTTATTTTGTGGGGATATCATCCATTGACTAACCTCACTTGCGAATGTCGCCCCCGGCCTCCTTTTCGCTGTCAGATGCCTTCAAGAATTTCTTCTTCTGCGGCCAGCAAGGCTCCCCTGAAGGCCTCTGCAGGCCATAACTGAGGTCTGGATCGATCCTGAATTTGTTATCCGCTCCAGAGGCCTTCAGGAAAGCCTTGCCAGCCTTGCTGGCTGCAGAAGAAATGGGCCAGAGAGGCAGGTGTCGGGGTGTGCGAGGCCTGGCTACAACTGTCCAAAGTATTAGGCAGCTCTTCCACCCCGACATCTCCACTCTATCTTAATTTTTACCCGTCCACTCTGGAGTGGGCGGGATCTTAATTAGGGCTTATATTGGGCGCACGTGTAAAAATCAAGCTAGGACTTACTTTCGGGGTAAGTCGTATTTTCGGGGAAACAGGATACGCTGTGAGCTTAGGCACCAGAGACAAGTTCTTTGTGGGTCCCATCACGCTTGAGTGGATAAAGAATTCAATTTAATACCAATAAAGGCAGAGCGCTTCTTGCTTTCCCGCACCAACCTGCTCACGCATGTTATGGCACAGAGCCATATCGGCATCCAGTTTTCCATGGTGGAAAAGGTCCAGCTGGTCAAGTTGCGACCTCAGGACGCTGCCCTTGACCAGGTAGACACCAGAAACATATGGGACATTCCAGAGGCCACTGAGAGAAAGAGAGAGAGAGAGAGAGAGAGAGAGCCAATCAGGCATAAAAAGAACCAGGCCAGATAATAAAAGGATGAAGCGAACCGAAAAAAGAACCTGTTTT